ACACAAAGTAGACTTAATCGCTAGCAGTTGTATGGGAGGAAATAAAGTTTATAAAAAGAGTGAAGTCAGGGGAGAGGGGAAAATGTCATTTTGCACACAGGGTTATGAAATCTCTGTATACGATGCATTGCAAAAGGTTGTAGTGCGGGAGTAAAATCACAAAGACACCACACAGAAGGCATTCCAGATGGGACACTTGACACCTCAGTCACCATTAGGCATTTGGCCAGAGCTGTTACTGAGCCCAGAAACAACAGAAAATTATCATAAGGGAAATGTCATGAACCTGCTTACATTTTCAAGACAGGATTATATCACTTGATGAGTCTGAAGACTGAAATGGAAAGAATAGACGCAAGAAAAGCACTGAGGGGACAGTTTAATACTCTAGACTCATACTGAGGTATATAATTTAGAGGTTGTAGTGTGACTGAAGTGGTTGTTTGTATGTATGTGCCCTATGAATACTCTAGCTCAGTGTGTGAATACAGATATTTTTATTGGCTATATCTACACATCACTGTATGTTTAATGTATTATGTATATACACTGATTTATACTATGTATTTAGTAATTTGATAATTATTTAATGCTGATGCCTTAAGAACATTTGTATTGTTCTCCACTGAAAGAAAATAAGCTGAATACCACTAAATTCAGGTTTTAATCCTGATGGAAACTGTGCGATAGTGTTGGAGGGAGGAGAGCGCTTGTTGGTCCCAGCCACCCAGCTGCTTAGCCCCTAAATAATCACACAGAAACTGTATTAATTAAATCACTGCTTGGCCCATTAGCACTAGCTTCTTATTGGTTAACTCTTATATCTTAATTTAAGCCATTTCTATTAATCTGTATATCACCAGAGGTCTTGGCCTACCAGCAAAGATTTGGCATGTCTGACTCTGGTGACTGCATGGCTTCTCTCTACTTCTGCCTTCTTCCACCCAGCATTCTGTTTAGTTTTCCCCTGCCTAGTTCTGTTCCCCTACAGTTCTGCTATAGGCCTAAAGCCATTCTTTTATTAACCAATGAAAGCAACACATAGACAGAAGGATCTTCTACACCAAGATACCCTTATTTGTACTAATATTTATTATGAATAAATGTTATTGATATTTGACTATCCTCTCAGGTCCAATAAGCTTCAAGATTTTTCTTTTTTTCTTTAAAAAAGCATTTTTTATGGATGGGATGACTCAACAGTTAGTTGATGTTCTTAAAGGCAATAACTACAAAGTCAATATCTGGGTACAGTGGCTGTATTATCGACTGTGGCTGTTGTCTCAGTTATTGTTGGTTCAGTCACTTACAGACCAGTGGACTTAAATGTATTCCCATAAAACTTTATATGTATACTAAACTTTGAATTTATGAATTTTTTCATCTCTAAAACAGATTAAGTTGTATATATTCTTTCTTTTTAAATTTCTTTTCAACTACTTAATGGTATAAAAACCATTTTCAATGCACATTTGGTATAAAAACAAGGACACAAGTTGGATGTGGCCCATGCACTGCAGTTTGCACACTCCTGGCATTAAATAACTAAGGGCTTAAACCCTTCATCTGTGTTTCATTGATTCATTCTGACTCTAATTTTAAACATCTTCTTTGCTGATCTTCTCTTTCTTTTGAGACACTAAAATGCCTCTTCAGGAAATGGCTCTCTGTATGCTCCAGATTATGCATTCAGAAAAGACTAGAACAATACCCTTGCCCCTGTCACTGCATTGACCTTTCCAAGGTCAACCAAACCCCTGGACATCTCTCTGTGCTCTTGAAACTCCCCCAAACACTCTTTGTCCAGTGTGTGATCTTCTGTTAGCTGTTGATTTTTTAATTATTTTCACTGAAGTGAACGCAAGCTAAACAAAGAATGTTGTCTGCCTTTACAATGTGTTAAGAAATAATGAAGTATAAATTTGGGAGGTGGGTGTTGTGGGTGTATTTTATTGCTTTTTCTTTGTTAAAATATAACCTAGTCAGTTACCATACTGCCTGGTTTGATGATCAGATAATCTTTGCTTTCCATAATGATCAGTGCCTAATCAGCATGTTTTACTATACATGGAATCATTTTCTTAGTACTTAATTTCTATAAACTGCACTATGTAGATATGGCTATTGAGAAAAAATAACCATTACAATAAAAGATTTTAAAAATATAAAAGTAAAGGCGATTTTAAATCAATACAATAAATCTACTTTTATCTCAGAATGGAGTCTAACAAAGCTAACCAAAAAGTAAGTTATTAAATTAAAATAGTTTTTCATTTCTTCCCAAATGACTTTATATAAACCATTTTTCCTGCAAGTATCTCAATTATATTCTAATTGTGTTTTTCTATAAGATTCTGCTACATTATGCTTATTCAATTTGATACAGTGAAAGCCGTCTAAAATGTTAAGAAAACATCAGATAATACAAAATATAAGCATCACCATGTTCTTATAGATGAAATATATATTCATAATATTTACATCTAAATCCCTAATTCTGTTGATATTTAAGATGGCTTGAGGGTTAGAGATATAGCTCAAAGGTTAAGAGCACACACTATGCTTGCAGAGTCCCATAATTCTGCTCCTCAACATTCAAATCAAGAGATAGCCCATACCTGCCTTATAACTCTACCTCTAGGATTCCTTCCATACTCTTCTTGCCATATAGGCACTCTCATGAAGAGGCACACGTTCTCCCAGACCCACAGAGAAACACAGATTTTTTTACAAATAAAACCCTTTAAAGTATTATATTTATTCCTATCAAATTGAAACTGTGTGCCTTTCAGTTACATGAACTCTGATGGAGGAGTTAATTTCATTGGTTAATAAAGAAACTGCCTTGGCCCATGTGATAGGCCAGCCCTTAGGTGGGTGGAGTAGACAGAACAGAATTCTGGGAGAAAGAAAGCCAAGTCAGGCAGTCGCCATGATTCTCCCACTCCAGACAGACACAGGTTAAGATCTTTCCTGGAAAGTCAGCTCGTGGTGCTACACAGAATATTAGAAATGGGTTAGATCAATATATAAGAGCTAGCCAATAAGAGATTAAAACTAATGGGCCAAGCAGTGCTTAAAAGAGTACACTTCCCGTGGAGTTATTTCGGGTGTAAAGCTAGCCCAGTGGCAGGACGCAGCCCTGCTGCCCTCACTACTACAGAACTCCTTGAATGACCACAGACAAATATATAAATGTAGCTTTTCCAAAGTAACATGGATTGCAATTCAAATGAATTACCCAATTAGAGAAGATAATAGTTGTTTCTATAAATACTGTGTTTTTTTAAATTTATTTATTTATTTATTTGTTTATTTCTTTATTAAAGATTTCTGTCTCTTCCCCACTGCTGCCTCCCATTTCCCTCTCCCTCCCCCAATCAAGTCCCCCTCCCTTGTCAGCCCAAAGAGCTATCAGGGTTCCCTGCCCTGTGGGAAGTCCAAGAACCACCCACCTCCATCCAGTTCTAGTAAGGTGAGCATCCAAACTGCCTAGGCTCCCACAAAGCCAGTAAGTGCAGTAGGATCAAAAACCCATTGCCATTGTTCTTAGGTTCTCAGTAGTCCTCATTGTCCGCTATGTTCAGTGAGTCCGGTTTTATCCCAGGCTTTTTCAGATCCAGGCCAGCTGGCCTTGGTGAGTTCCCAATAGAACATCCCCACTGTCTCAGTGTGTGGGTGCACCCCTCGCGGTCCTGAGTTCCTTGCTCGTGCTCTCTCTCCTTCTGTTCCTCATTTGGACCTTGAGATTTCTGTCCAGTGCTCCAATGTGGGTCTCTGTCTCTGTCTCCTTTCATCGCCTGATGAAGGTTAATATTTAGGAGGATGCCTATATGTTTTTCTTTGGGTTCTCCTTCTTATTTAGCTTCTCTAGGATCTCTAATTATAGGCTCAATGTCCTTTAATTATGGCTAGAAACCAAATATGAGTGAGTACATCCCATGCTCCTCTTTTTGGGTCTGGGTCACCTCACTCAGGATAGTGTATTCTATTTCCATCCATTTGTATGCAAAAATTCAAGAAGTCCTTGTTTTTTACTTCTGAGTAGTACTCTAATATGTATATATTCCATACTTCCTTCATCCATTCTTCCATAGAAAGGAATCTAGGTTGTTTCCAGGTTCTGGCTATTACAAATAATGCTGCTATGAACATAGTAGAGCATATACTTTTGTTGTATGATAAGGCCTCTCTTGGGTATATTCCCAAGAGTGGTATTGCTGGGTCCAGGGATAGGTTGAACCCAAATTTCCTGAGAAACCGCCACAGTGCTTTCCAAAGTGGTTGCACAAGTTTGCATTCTCACCAGCAATAGATGAGTGTACCCCTTTCTCTACAACCTCTCCAGCAAAGGCTATCATTGGTGTTTTTTATTTTAGCCATTCTGACGGGTGTAAGATGGTATCTTAAAGTTGTCTTGATTTGCATTTCCCTGTTCGCTAAGGAAGTTGAGCATGACCTTAAGTGTCCATGACCATGACCTGATAGAAGAGAAAGTGGGAAGTACTCTACAACACATGGGCACAGGACACCACTTCCTACGTATAACCCCAGCAGCACAGACATAAAGGGCCTCATTGAATAAATGGGACCTCCTGAGACTGAGAAGCTTCTGTAAAGCAAAGGACACTGTCACCTAGACAAAAAGGCAACCCACTGACTGGGAGAAGATCTTCACCAACCCCGCAACTGACAAAGGTCTGATCTCCAAAATATATAAAGAACTCAAGAAACTAGACCGTAAAAGGCTGATCAACCCAATTATAAAATGGGGCACTGAGCTGAACAGAGAATTCTCAACAGAAGAAGTTCAAATGGCCAAAAGACACTTAAGGTCATGCTCAATTTCCTTAAATACTGTGTTTTCTATAAATTTATCTGAAAAAAATAAGCTCCATAAAGGTAATATAATCATGGTTTTCAATGAAATCACTGTACTGTAATGTTTAAAAATGGTTTAGCGGATCCAAATTAGGAAACTTTTGTTGTCTTCCTCCCAGGCTCTGGGCTGAATGATGGGCAATGGCATGAGGTTCGCTTCCTGGCCAAGGAAAACTTTGCAGTTCTCACCATTGATGGGGATGAAGCATCGGCAGTTCGCACCAACAGTCCTCTGCAAGTGAAGACTGGCGAGAAGTACTTCTTGGGAGGTAGGAAAGCCACGGTTTAGGTTAGAGGATACTTTAAAAAAGAAGAAAAAAGTTTATAAAGTACTTTTATCCAAGGAATCTAGTAGATTTTAGAATAAATAAACAAGTTGTAATTGAGTTAAAAGGTTAAAGAAAATGCTGCTTCACAAAAAACCCTATCAATGTGGTGACCCCCTTACCTACCTTTTGTTTCAATCTTCAAAGCATAAAACCTGAGATTCTGTGTAATTCCCAAAATACTCTTTTCCAGAATAAATGACAACTATGGATTAGTCACGTACTTTATAGAAAATTCTCCTGAACTTTAGTCAATACCCAAGTCTGTTTATATGAATATGTATTCCTATCTTGTATTTGCTTCTTGTTTCCCCGACGTTGTTAGAGTAATTCTACTTAAGAGCACTTACCTTGTCTGCCAAGTTTCCTGCCTTATGCCCTAGTCCAAAAGAAATTCCTGGAATATGACAGATAGCAAATACTTATTTATAAATGAATTAGTAAACTCTGTAAAATAGAACAGATAAGCATTTTTTTTTAATTGTGAGAAAGAAGAAACATATACCCTGGCAGCCACTGGCTGCTGAGTATAAGACCATGTGCTCCTAGGTTGGTAGTTTCTACCACTGTGGAGGTATAAGTTAGAGAAATAAATTCTGAGTTTGTCCTGAGTCATTAATCCATGATATTTGTTGGGTGTTCATAATACATATTTGAAAGATTCTTGGTGAATATTTGGTAAGTCAATGAAAATGAGAAAAGATGTCTTCTGAGTGAAGGAATAGAGTTGATTGACATAAACATAAGCCATTCATTTAAACCCTAGCTTCCCTCCAAGTATGGGTTGAACATAATCAGCTTTGGGCCAAGAGTTCCCACGGTTGTCATAGTAAATGGATTGCATTTGTCAGCAGAAAAGCTTCTGACAGTCTCCACTAATCTCCGATCTGGAATGCTGTTGGCCATGAATGAGGTCATCAAAGGCCTATAGTAGTTCCTATCCATCTCTGTCCAGTGGATAGACAAATTGCTAGAGCCTCACATTTGTGGTAAAGATGATTGGATGTGGTGTGCTGTACTTTATTGCTTTATAGATTTGAGTTTTTAAAACCCTGTCAAGAGGATCTTGACTTCCTCTCGGGTCTTTGTTCTGCCTGCAAGATATGCCACCAGCATAGAATCATGATGGTTTTTTGATTACATCCTCCTCAGCTGAGTCCTGTAAGTGCATAAAAAACACATTGTATCTCCAAATCTCAGGCAGAACTGCTAGAATTTTAACATACAGGACGAGATACTGAACTATAACTTTGAGACACTGCAGAATTCTAAGCTTCAAGAGATTTTGAGAAATATGTTATCAAGAACAGTATGTAGATGGACTTGAACTAATACCCACCCTGCACCCCTGAGATTCCTCTGAAAGAAAGCAGCTACCAGAAGTAGGAAAGAAGGAAGAAAGAGTAATGGTGTTTCTGGTCTCTGAAAGCCTCAAGCAAAGGTTTGCACCAAGTAAAGCTTCTGACTGGGAGGCATCATCTTGACGGTTTCTAGTAGGGTGTGCCTCCACATTTCTGTGCCTGCTCATGGGAAATTGTAGGCCAGGCCAGGCTTCTGATTCTGCAGTTTCTTTCCTTTGTTCTTGTGTGAGAATAGCAGATAGCAAAAAAGCCATATTTGGGGGTATTTCTTCAGCAAAGGAGGTCACAGCTGCTTTAGCTGTTATCTCTACCTCTCGACTGAAATTCCTTAACACTTCATTAATTTTAATAATTGAGATAAAAATAAAAGAGGCAATTATATTTATTTATCAACCAATTACTGGGTAATAGTCTTTTAGATATCGGCCAGGGCCCATGGTTATGTGTGTACAGCTTTAAATTTCTAACATTATTTAGGCCATTACTTTTAATAAACTCTGTGTTTTCATTTGAATGAAAATAACTGGGTAAGGAAGTTTCCATTGGCTTCTATTGAAAAGTGGATGCCTAAAGAGTATAGGATGGGCAGGCAGCTCACAAGAAGGTGGCAGACGAGGGAGGCAATGGGACAGGAGAGCTGTCTGAGTTTCATAGTACTGGTACTAGTGAGGTTTAATGGAGGGAGGGTCCATCCATGTCTGGTTTCTAATCTAGATACAGCAGTACACATGTCTAGCCATTGCCACCTATAGTAGCAGGGCCACATCGAGTGAGTGGCTTTAACCAGCCACATTTATTTCCCCAAGTTTTCTTTCTGAAGGCAAGAAATCCAAGATCAAAGTGCTGTTAGATGCAGTCTGTTGAGGCCTGTCTTCCTGACTTTTAGACTGTCCTTTTCTTATTGTGTCTTCATATTGCACAAGATGGAAGAAGGATTAGGAAGGTATTCAGAGAACAATAGAATCTCCATGTCTGTTCTTATGAGGAAGCTAATCTCATTGTGAGGATTCCATTCTTTTTTTTTTTTTTTTTTTTTTTTTTCAATGTAGAATTCTTTTTTTTTTTTTTATTTTAATTTATTTATTTATTAAGAATTTCTGCCTCGTCCCCACAACCGCTTCCCGTTTCCCTCCCCCTCCCCCGATCAAGTCCCCCCCCCCTCATCTGCTCGAAGAGCAATCAGGGTTCCCTGACCTGTGGGAAGCCCAAGGACTGCCCACCTCTATCCAGGTCTCCTAAGGTGAGCATTCAAACTGCCTAGGCTCCCACAAAGCCAGTACGTGCAGTAGGATCAAAAACCCACTGCAATTGTTCTTGAGTTCTCAGTATTCCTCATTGTCCGCTATGTTCAGCTAGTCTGGATTTATCCCATGCTTTTTCAGACCTAGGCCAGCTGGCCTTGGTGAGATCCCAATAGAACATCCCCATTGTCTTAGTGTGTGGGTGCACCCCTCGTGGTCCTGAGTTCCTTGCTCGTGACCCAAAAAGAGGAACATGGGATGTACTCACTCATATTTGGTTTCTAGCCATAAATAAAGGACATTGAGCCTATAATTCATGTTCCTAGAGAAGCTAAATAAGGTGAATCCAAAGACAAACACATAGGCATCCTCAGGAATATTAACCTTCATCAGGCGATGAAAGGAGACAGAGACAGAGACCCACACGGGAGCACCGGACAGAAATCTCAAGGTCCAAATCAGGAGCAGAAGGAGACGGAGCACGAGCGAGGATTCCATTCTTAAGATCTAATTACCACCTAGAGATTCTCAACTTCAGACCTATACCATGGCAGGGGTGGGAGTTAAGTTTCCCATATATAAATTCTGAGCAGGGCACACAGGCAGTCTGTAGCAATTGTCACCGAAATAGACCAGAAGTATATAGATATAGAGATAGATAGATAGATAGATAGATAGATAGATAGATAGATAAGTAGGTAGGTAGATAGATAGATAGATAGATAGATAGATAGATAGATAGATATGCAAATATACAAATAAAAAGTATTTCCCTGTTGGGTTTCTTTAGGAGGAATATCCCAGGTCTGGTAGTTCATACTTACTCATGAAGTAATGTAATGCCAGGCTTCCTGTGTACATCTGAGCCTCTAAAAATTCTTTATGGACCCCACGTCCTCTATAATTTGTCACTTAAAGCCTGTAGATGGAGTCCCAGATGAAACACCTGGGTTAGCTGGTCCATTGCACAATAGCTGAATAACTTGGAAGCACCTGACTTAAGTTCACATTTTTTAGGTTGTCTAAAGTAAGTTTTCTAACTTCTTTTTATTTCACTCCAAAAATCACAGAAGCAAGAAGTATTTTATCAAATGATATTTTTCAGTGATCTGAAAATGGGTAAAGGAGTTTGTGATGTGTAATAGATTCATAGGCTGCTATTACAAGGTACCACAAACTCAGTGACCTCAACTAGCAGTCATTTATTCTCAGGTTTGAATACAGGAAATTAGGGGTGTGAGGTATCAAGGAGGTCTGTGTTCTCTTTGAAGGATGTAAGAAAGGAGTCCAATAGCTAGTGACAGTTTTTGGCAATCCATGGGACTCCTGTGACAACCATCATGTAGGCTTCTACCTTCAAATCCTCTGAGGGTCTGTGTCTATGTTTCCTTCTGATAAGGACACCAGGCACAGGTTTAGAGCACATCCTACTCCCACTCACCTCATAATTCCCTAGATACCTCTGGGATAACATTATTTCCAAATTAGGCCACATGCCCAGATCCAACTTAGAATATTAGCAGACCTTTTAGAACAACACAAACAGCTTATAATAAGGTTTAGGTTAGCTGTGTAAGCCGTTCTGTGTTGGTTACATTACTTGTTGCTTTGACTTCATACATGACAAGACAATACGAAGGGAGGGGAGTTTTATTCCTATTCACAGTCTGAGGACAATCCTAATAGGGAAGTCATGGGGCCAGGTAGTGCGGTACAGGCAGGAGTGTATGTCAGCTGCTTGCTCACATCTCACTGGACAAGGAAGCAGAGAGAACACAGTAAGCATGCTTGAGCTATTAATCTGCCTATAAAATAAAATTATACCTGCTCCAACAAGGTCCCCTCTCCCAAATGTTCCTCAGCATTTCAAAACAGTAACACTAACTGGAGTCCAAGTTTTCAAATACATGAACCTATAGGGGGCATTTTACACTTAAACCATGAGACTCTCCAACTTCTGATTTTTCTCTTATGTGCTTTCAAAGATGGGTCTTATAGGAGTTAACAGCAATGACAAATTTAAGAAACTATAGCTAAAGGGAAGATTCTAACAAGCACCATAAGGGAGAACTAGAGCCTAGGGCACATGGGCTGAAATGATGGCTGTTGGCCAAATTTACAAATGGAATTTTGTGACCTCTAAATTGTGCTGAATGTAGAAGTCTTGGGAGATCAATAGAAAATGTTTCTGAGAGAAGCAGAACTGGTGCATATGAGTGTCCAAACCCATTACTTGTAAGTGTTAGACACCTCTGTGTAAAACAAAACCAGTAAAAGGTATACGGTAGGGGAAGTCATCATTGTAATGAAAGAATCTACAGGTGTAAAGAAAGCAACAGAT